GATAAGGGAAACTTAAAGGAAACTTTTGGAGTTATTTAACAGAAAATGTTTATGTGACAAAAAGTGATAATGAAAATAAATGTAAATTATTTATTTCATTGTAAAAAGGCTCAGGCCTTATAAAGATAAACATAATGTGCAAATTGTACATGTTTCTCTTTTTCTTCCTTGTCCCAGGGTACCTCTCATTGTACTATTCATTACCACCATTGTTCAATCCCCTGATATTGTCCAGATTTTAGGACTGTTGGTTATTTTACAGTTCTGTATTGTTTCAGTATGTATTTTATTTTGGATTTGATTTGTTTAACAAGCATGTTGAAAAGGATTTTCTGCAACATGGCTTGGGCACACCTTACAGTAACTCAGCATGTTTTGATAAAGATGATATTTGGAATTTTTGCAGTTTCTTGTACAGTGCATGTCAACTTCATTACTTTTCTCCCTCACCTTAAATTGAATTCTACAGCAAATTAGTTCTTGGTCTTCCACGGCCAATTATTGAAGTTTTAACAAAAACATTCCACCCCCAAGGTCATATTTTCTTTCAGGTTTTTGAGAAAAAAAGTGACAAGGAAAATATTTTATATTTAACGGAGGTTGATGAAGCAGTTGTGATTGCAAGTGTATTTTATTTCAGTATTGTTGACGAACATGCAAAAATAATCTCTATTGGTACAGCAGGAGGTCTATACCTAATCAAGAGGCAGCAAACATGCAAGATGTGTGTGTTGCTGTGGTTTAATTTTACAGGCACTGTATGTGAAGAAGAGCTAATCACAAGTTCAAATAACAAGGGATATTGCCACAGAAAATGTTTTGTTTTTCTTGTTTTAATGAAAATGAAATTGGGCATTATTCCTTTTCCACATGACGATGATGTGTTTTAATGTCCAACAAAACCTTGTTGCTGTAACAGGCTACAGTATATATTTTCATTTCAATTTCCATTGTACATACCTTTAGATGTCAGAATTTGAATAAACAAGCTACCATGAATAGATAACTCTTTTGGAACAGGAAGAATGCCTCACGTGATGACAAAGACATATGTTATTTATCCTTTTGAATGCCTTTTAATTTTCTCTTTTTTGGTGCAATGTGTTAATGCCAAGGCTATGTCTTGGTTAAGTATGGTTGAGTACAGAGATTTATGTAAGTTATTTTTCAAATTAAAAATAAAAAAATGATATTACACTGATGGAGAGTGTTGGGTGATAAGATGAACACGCACGCACAAGAAATATGCAAACTCTAGCAAACTTAGGAGGTTTTTAGAAGACATATTTATAACTAGTCCAAGTCAATGAACCAGAAGACTTGACTTTTAGTCCGGGAGATGTGTTAAGCTACAAATTTGCTGGTTACCACATTTTCCATTATCCAAGTCATTATCCATTCTTAGTTAAACCTGGAGGATCCATGGTTAAACTGTGGTCATGCTGAAAGAAGGTCTATTACATCTAAGTCTAACCTTAAATACAACCTATGGTTCAAACAACACTAGGGGGACTGGAACAATGCAGCTGACTTTGGGCGATAGGTTAGGCACACCTTGGACAGGTCACCAGCGTATCATACAAGACACTATAGTGACATCTGTCCACTCTCACATTCCCCCCATGGACAATTTGGAGCCTCCAATTAACTTAGCTCCATTCTACATGTCTCTGGACTGTAAGAGAAAGCTGTAGGACATGGAGCAAACCCACACAGAAAGACCCCGGCCAAGCCTTGATTTCAACCTGGTACCTTTTTAATGTGACAGTGCAAACCGCAGCACCACCGTGGTATATATAACCACAGTCAGTCTACAGTTATGGCTGTAGCTCATGTCATGTCAGCTCAATTATTTCTTGGCGATGATGAAGAAGTAGGTACTTGTGACAAGGGTAGAACACTGATGTTAATTCAATTTAATTAAACTCAGTTTATTGGAGTAGTCCTACATCACAACATTCATTATGTCAACGTTTTCTTACATAAAAGTTAGAGAGTAAAAATGATGGTGATCGTTAACTGGAAGAAACTTCTAACAGAACCAGACTCATCGTGGATGATGGTCACATGCCTCGATTGGTTGGGGCAAAAGGGGAAAACGGTGAGGTGAGAGAGATAGTCCTGATTATAATTGTCATTATTGTTATAATGACAATTATAATATGATATGATATTTATAGATGTAATGGTGTTATTAATGATAGCAGCTTCAGTTCACT